TCTACTTCCCTGCCCCCTGCAGAACCTGTAGGCACCTCCCATTGGGGCTTTGCTGGCAGGGATGGGCTTCTGGGGGCGTGCGGCTTTGGCTGCTCCGCCACCCACTGTGGCTCCCGCAGAACAGCCCCTGTCCCACGGGGCCTCTGGTGCTGCGCAACTCCCTCCTCCTCCACATGTGCAGGCAGCGACTTGTTACAGTGGCTGCTGCTGCCAGGAGGCAGAGGGGGAGAGGTGGCCGGAGCAGAGGAGCTGCTCCTGGACCTCGGCGTTTTTAAACTGCCTCCTGCGGGGAACCCGTCTCGGGCTCTGCCGCCCTTCCCCCTCTCGCTGCCCCTCATGGGCTGCTGCTCTCTTGCCCCTCGCCAGCCTGCTGGGGTGTTTGTTCTGCCAGTGGGAAGCCTGACCTGATGCTGCAGCTGCACTGGGTTCTCTGCTGCATGGGTGGGGGGAAGGGACTGAACTCCCTCCCCCTGAGGAACAAGAATATGCTGCCTGGAGGCTTTCCCTGCTGCAGCAGGATGCCAAGCCAGGTAAGCGTATCCCCTCATGCCTAGACCCCACACCCATATCCTCCTCACTCCCCTCCCCCTGCTAAGACCCTGCATTCCCAGCTTGCTCTGACATCCTTCCCCAAGACCCCTCCTGTACCCTCCTTCCTGGCCAGACACCCTGCCCCAAGTACCGTCTTGTATCCTTCCTTCTGGCCAGACATCTTTCCCCAAGACCCCTCCTCTACCCTCCCTCCTGGCCAGGACATTGTAGATCATCTTTATGATTTATACACAAACATCATGAAGTATTTTCCAATCATAAATGCAACAATAACTGGATTTGAAATCCATTAAGTATAACAGAAAAGCCAGTCAGTTTTTCTATGCAAGAATTTGGAAAACCTAAGCGAAATTACTTCAGATGGCCAATTAATACAAAAATCATAGAATCATAGGACTGGAAGGGACCTCGAGAGGTCATCGAGTCCAGCCCCCGGCCCTCAAGGCAGGACCAAGCTCCGTCTACACCATCCCTGACAGATGTCTGTCTAACCTGTTCTTAAATATCTCCAGAGAGGGAGATTCCACCACCTCCATTGGCAATTTATTCCAATATTTGACAACCCTGACAGTTAGGAATTTTTTCCTAATGTCCAATCTAAACCTCCCCTGCTGCACTTTAAGCCCATTACTCCTTGTCCTGTCCTCAGAAACCAAGAACAACAAATTTTCTCCTTCCTCCTTGTGACACCCTTTTAGATATTTGAAAACCACTATCATGTCCCCCCTTAATCTTCTTTTTTCCAAACTAAACAAGCCCAGTTCATGAAGCCTGGCTTCATAGGTCATGTTCTCTAAACCTTTAATCATTCTTGTCGCTCTTCTCTGTACCCTTTCCAATTTCTCCACGTCTTTCTTGAAATGTGGTGCCCAGAACTGGACACAGTACTACAGCTGAGGCCTAACTAGTGCAGAGTAGAGTGGCAGAATGACTTCACGAGTTTTGCTTACAACACACCTGTTGATACAACCTAGAATCATATTTGCTTTTTTTGCAACTGCATCACACTGTTGACTCATATTCAACATATCTATGACCCCTAGATCCCTTTCCGCCATGCTTCTTCCTAGACAGTCGCTTCCCATCTTGTATGTATGGAACTGATTGTTCCTTCCTAAGTGGAGCACTTTGCATTTCTCTTTATTAAACTTCATCCTGTTTACCTCTGACCATTTCTCTAACTTGCTAAGGTCATTTTGAATTATGTCCCTATCCTCCAAAGAAGTTGCAACCCCACCCAGTTTGGTATCATCTGCAAACTTAATAAACGTACTCTCTATCCCAATATCTACATCATTGATGAAGATATTGAACAGTACGGGTCCCAAAACAGACCCTTGAGGAACTCCACTTGTTATCCCTTTCCAGCAGGATTTAGAACCGTTAACAACAACTCTCTGACTACGGTTATCCAGCCAATTATGCACCCACCTTATCGTGGCCCTATCTAAGTTATATTTGCCTAGTTTATCAATAAGAATATCATGCGAGACCGTATCAAATGCCTTACTAAAGTCTAGGTATATGACATCCACCGCTTCTCCCTTATCCACAAGGCTCGTTATCTTATCAAAGAAAGCTATCAGATTAGTTTGGCATGACTTGTTCTTCACAAACCCATGCTGGCTATTCCCTATCACTTTATTACCTTCCAAGTGTTTGCATATGATTTCCTTAATTACCTGCTCCATTATCTTCCCTGGGACAGACGTTAAACTGACCGGTCTATAATTTCCTGGGTTGTTCTTATTCCCCTTTTTATAGATGGGCACAATATTTGCCCTTTTCCAGTCTTCTGGAATCTCCCCTGTCTGCCATGATTTTTCAAAGATCATAGCTAAAGGCTCAGATACCTCCTCTATCAGCTCCTTGAGTATCCTGGGATGCATTTCATCAGGACCTGGTGACTTGCTGACATCTAACTTTCCTAAGTGATTTTTAACTTGTTCTTTGTGTATCCTATCTTCTAAACTTACCCTCTCTCTGCTTGTATTCACTACGTTAGGCACACCTCCAGACTTCTCGGTGAAGACCGAAACAAAGAAGTCATTGAGCATCTCCGCCATTTCCAAGTTCCCTGTTACTGCTTCTCCCTCCTCACTAAGCAGTGGGCCTACCCTGTCCTTGGTCTTCCTCTTGCTTTTAATGTATTTATAAAAGGTCTTCTTGTTTCCCTTTATGCCTGTAGCTAGTTTGATCTCATTTTGTGCCTTTGCCTTTCTAATCTTGCCCCTGCATTCCCGTGTTGCTTGCCTATATTCATCCTTTGTTAGTTGTCCTAGTTTCCATTTTTTATATGACTCCTTTTTTATTTTGAGATCATGCAAGATCTCCTTGTTAAGCCAAGCTGGTCTTTTGCCATATTTTCTATCTTTCCTACACAGCGGAATTGTTTGCTTTTGGGCCCTTAACAACGTCCCTTTGAAATACTTCCAACCCTCCTTGGTTGTTTTTCCCTTCAGTCTTGCTTCCCATGGGACCTTACCTACAAGTTCTCTGAGCTTATCAAAATCTGCCTTCCTGAAATCCATTACCTCAGTTGTGCTGGTCTTCCTTCTGCCTTTCCTTAAGATCATGAACTCTATTATTTCATGATCACTGTCCCCCATACTGTCTTCCACTTTCAAGTTCTCAACTAGTTCCTCCCTATTTGTTAAAATCAAATCCAGAACAGCTTCTCCTCTGGTAGCTTTTTCAACCTTCTGAAACAGAAAGTTGTCTCCAATGCAGTCCAGAAACTTATTGGATAGCCTGTGCCCCACTGTGTTAGTTTCCCAACATATGTCTGGATAGTTTAAGTCCCCCATCAGTAGTTTCTCTGAATATGTTTTGGGGCTGCTTATGTCACGAATATTCAACTTTATCAAGATGTGCAATTCATCAGTTGTTACCATTCACCAGCACATACTTGTGTGGAACTGGGTTCTTGATTATGCAGCAACAAAAACGAAATACAGAAATCGATTGAATGCCGTGCCAGATATGCAAATCCAACTTTTTAGTATTAAACCAAATATAAAAAGAATTTGCCAAGAAAAGAAGGAAAACCACTCTTTGCATTGAAAACTGCCCATGTAATTCATATTGGTTCTTGAACTTTATTTTTTTTTACACATTAAATGTTATTTTTATTTTTAAATATGTGCAGTTAAACTAAATGTTGATTTTATTACCTTATTTAGCATTTGTTCATTATTATTATCCTTACTTACTTGTGGTCTACTTTTTCAGCTTCATATACCAGACTGTTTTCCGGGGGGTGGGAGGGTGACGCTGTTTGTTTGCTCGACAAATTTTCCCTTGGGTACTCTAGGCTCAGCTGTAGGGGTTCCTCGAAATTCTTCCGAGTTTAAAAGGCTTCTGTGGCCAAATAAAATTGGGAAACTCTGGTCTAGAAGATTGTGTTTAGTCCTGCCATGAATACAGGGAACTGGACTTAGGGAACCCTAACCCCTAGAAGTTCCTTCCAGTTCTATTATTCTTTCTAATACTTTATATTTTAATTTTAAATAATTAATCTCCCTTCTTTTACCAAAGCAATTACATCTAAAGTGGTGGTGTTTGTGCAAAATAATCAAATAACAAAAGGCAAGCTGTTCTTTCAGTATTTATATTTAATGAGTTGGTTGCTGTCAGTAGGGGCACATCTACACAGCAGGACTTAAACTGAAATAAGCTATGCAGCTTGGACTATGTCAGTTGCATAATCGTAAGTCACAATAGCTTATTTCAGCTTTTGGCGCTGTCTACACAGCGGGAAGTCCAACAGAGCACTCTTTCTCATATTTCTCGTAAAATGAGGGTTACAAGAGTCAGAGTAAGAAGTCCTCCAGCTCGACATTATTTTGACATTATGTAGATGTGCACTGTATTATTTCGGAATAGCGTCAGTTATTCTGAAATAACACTGCTATGTGGACGTGTACCCTAGCTGCCCCAAATAACTTACTATAAATGATGAAATAGAGCATATGGAACATATTGCAAAAGCTTGATTAACATTGTTTCTGTGTACATAAGTTTCACTTCTCTTCTTGTCAGAGTAGTTTTATAAGGTTTAGGCTTCCTGAGAAGCCAGACTTTCTCTGGTGGAGACTGGTGATATCGCTGCAGATGTCTTCAACTGCTTGGCCTGGTCCTTGGCCCTTCCCTTAATTGTACAGAATATGGTTGTTCATGTCATGCTATTGGTAGAGAAGATGGCTTAAATTGGCTGGCCTTGTTGACTGCATAGGAGGAAAATCTTCTGTTTCAGAATAATTTCTCTGCTCATGATGGGCAACGAATAAATAGAATGTAAAGATTTCACACCTGAGCTGCGTTCTCTCTCTGACTGAAGTGTTTATTGAATACATGTTATTAAAATAGTTGTAGCATGAGGAATGGAAGGAGGGTTTTAGTTAGGGCATGAGTGTGTTTGAGCTGATATTTAAATTTTTTTTCATCAGATTGAAACTCCCATGATGAATATTATTCCAGGTGGAGCTGTGGCTAAACCTTTCATTACCTATCACAATGAACTGGACATGAACTTGTACATGAGAATTGCTCCAGAACTCTACCACAAGGTGAGATGTGACTGCTTCAGTAGGTTAAGCGTTGTGCTTTTCTGATTCCCTGCGTTCCCAAAATGTGAAGCATGCGTGTGAAGTAAGGATTAGACCAGGGTGGGCAATCATTTTTAGGGCAGGTGGGCCACTTCACTAATTTTGGTACGTGGTCGTGGGCTGGTTCCAGGCCCCCCAGAAGGGCAGGGTGTCAAGGAGAATGGGTGATGCTGGAGGTTACAGAGAGGCAGAGAGAGTACATTAGTGTGAAAGAGAGACACTTTGTGTGACAGACAGACTTTGAGAGACAGATTGAGTGTATGTGACTATGTGGTACAGACTGGGTATGTATGATAGTGACACCGTGTGTGAGTTGGCTGCTGCTGGGTAAGTTTTTGAGATAACTGTTTCTTTAAGGGAAATCTGTCCTGCTCTGCCGTCTTCCCCCTCCCCCTCTGAGTCACGTAGCATCCACACTTCAGACTGGAGCAGCTCCGCTGTGTCTCTCCCTGACCCTGCTCTGCAGAGATGGGGTACAGGTGCAGGGAGACACTCTGACTTCAGCACTCCCCTCCATCCTCCTCCTGGTCTGCACAGCTAGCAGGAGAATCCTGGGAGCAGCTTGTTTGCAGGATGGAGCAAAGTGGGGGGGGGGGCGTGAAGCTGAACACATGGTGCCTGCTGTAAGTATGCATGCTCTGCTCATCAGCTGGGGAGAAATTTTGGTGGGTCGGATCTGGGCCCCGGGCCTTATTTTGCCCAACCCTGGCTTAGACTAAAGGCCAGTAGATTAAAGGGATTGACAAAAGCATCCTTGCTGGGTGAAGTAATTACTAAAGAGATGAGCAGGAAAGAGGCTTTCATTGGTTTTGGGGAATAGTGGATGTAGGGTACTTGAACCAGAGTTCTTCATTACGTTGTCTAGTGCTACTTTTTACCTCTGTTTCGCTGATAATCTTGGGACTGTAGATTTGATACAAGTTTGATGGAACTTTTTTGAGCTAATTCATTTCAGAAGGCTAATGTGACCAGCTGGGTTTCTTTTTTAGATATTGGTGGTTGGAGGCATGGACAGGGTGTATGAAATTGGACGCCAGTTCCGGAATGAAGGAATTGATTTGACTCATAATCCTGAATTCACAACCTGTGAGTTTTACATGGCTTATGCAGATTATCATGACCTGATGGAGATTACAGAAAAACTGCTTTCAGGTGACTTAACCTAATATTAATTAGCAGAGATTAAAAATCTGTGTGAAGATAGTATGTGATACAGCATGGTGTTGATTTTAAGTGCAGCTTTATCTTGTAGGAATGGTGAAACACATTACTGGAAGTTACAAGATCACTTATCACCCAGATGGTCCTGAGGGCCAGGCCTGTGAGATAGATTTCACCCCACCCTTCCGGAAAATCAGCATGGTGTGTGAGCTGGAGAGAGTCCTGGGAGTGAAACTTCCAGCAACTAATCAATTTGAAACTGAAGGTTAGATGAGTCTGTGTGATTGCCTCTCCCTTGCTATTATGGGGCAAAGACCTCTATCCCCCAGTCCATGTTGATCTATAAGCTGCCTCCAATACTGTTTATTACAAGGAGGTGTGGGCTGCTCGGATCCACACGTGAGCTGAGTAGATGGGGTTGCTCTACAGTGGCTTTGTTCGATTAATGTAAAGAAATTGCATCTGCCAATTGTCCTTTCAGTTCACAGTTGTGGACAGCTGCTTTTTTAGGTGATCATATAGCAGCAATGATTTGGTTGGGTAGTTTTGATCTTTTTTCCTCCGATATGATCCTTACTACTTCTAGACAAGGCTGTAAGGCACTATACTTCAGTCTGCATCTTAAATATATCTGAAAACTATGGCTAGTGAACAATATAGTGGTTGTCTTTAGTATCACATGCTCATTATGAGGTTTGTGTGGTAGGATCTGCCTGGGTTTCCTGGTGGCTTTTTCAGCTGCTTGGTTTAGTTTTGCTAGCCCTACGTAATTCTGAGACCTGCCTACTTGAGAGAATGTCTCTCCCTGTGAGTGATACTGATGCTGTGGCAATCAGTAGAGGTGCTTAACATGGGAGCCCCTTGATTTATGAGAGTGAAAGCTGCTGGCAGATGTGCTCTTTGAGGACCTGTTCACTTTGGCGCATGCTCCCAATGCCTCCTTGAGCTGAAATGGTCCAAAGTCTCTTGAACATTCTTCAAAACTCTTCGTTTGAGCAGGTATTAGGGAGAAATGATATATGTTTTGGGGTATTTATAGGAGCTGGGAGAGGAATATTCTTATTAATTATTCTGAGACTGGCTATTGTCTACAGTGACAGTCTCTGTGGGATTGTTTATAACTTGTCAGAGCATCTAGAGTCTGGAATGAGGAATCTTATGTTTGTTTACATTGGCAGCAATTAATACTGCCCTTCATGCTCTGAGAAAAGCTGAAAACATACTCCTGAGCTGGTATGTCCTATCGTGTATTATGACAGAAAATACCGAAGGTCATTCCAGTCCATTTCCATTGTGTCTGGACTTCTGCAAGTTGGGGAGGATGGGGAGAAGAGTTGACTATATAAATAGTTTCTCTTTTTGCATTATGAAAACAGAAACTCGCAAGTTCTTTGATAATATTTGTGTGGAGAGAGGTGTTGAGTGTCCACCCCCCAGGACCACGGCCAGACTTCTTGATAAGGTAAGTGGAGGTGGCCTTTTAATCATCCTAAGATCTGTCCGTATGAAGTTATGAGGCCACATTTGAAGCAACAGGTTCCTTGCTGACTACTGGTTAGCTAGATGAAGAATTCAGTAAAAGAATGGCAGAAAATGTAAACTAATAAAAGGAAGCATTTCAACATACAGTCTGCATTTAGCCTGCGGAACTCATTATCACAGGTTTTTAAAAGAAGGATTGGAGGTTTTCTATATACTGGGACAATATACAGCATGAGACCCTGGCTTTGTTGGTCTCTTGGGATGATCACAGTCTTCTAAATCTACTATATATTTGAGAGAGTTTGACTGTTTAAGAACTCCTCCTAAATTGTGAAAGCTAGGACCACCAAATTTAGTACACCGCTTCCTCTTATCATAATTTAAAGCAAGGTCAGTGTGTGGCTGTGCCAGGAAAATGGGATGTTCCGGGAATGGGACTGCTTTTCATAAAACCAAACAGAAAAGAATCACTAGGCAAGTGAAGGAAGCTGGCTGGGAGTGCCCTGGCTCTGAGATGTTCCCAATTCCCTCCAGATTTTTACAGGGACATTGCTGGCTGTTCCCGTTTGTCAGGCAGAGAGAGGAAAGAGCACAGTTGCTGCATTCCTCGCTCTGGCTGGGGAGCGCAGGGTGCTATTGAGCTGTGCACTGTGGTCTTGCTCCCTGACAGAGAGGAAGAGGCAAAGCAAGGAGCATTGGTACAAATCTTGAGAGCTTTCCCCCCTTCACACAAATACTATCAGTCCACTGCCCAGAGACCTTCCTCACCCCCACAACCCTGATTCCTGCACCACCACCCCCACTCCTAGATCCTTGCCCTTAGTCCCTCCTTAAAGACCCAGGCAAAGCCAGATAAATGTGCTAGTGTTTAGTAATAATATAAATAGCATACTCACAGTAATGCAAGGTGCAACAAAATAACACAAATCCCATGAGTTTGGAAATGATTGCAGATGAACTTTAACCTAATGGGGAGAAGATCAGGAAGGAAGTTTTCCTGGGTGCAAATAAGTTTCTTGCATCCTAAGTTCCCTCTAAACTGTGGCTGCACAAGCACTCAGGGCTATGGTGAGGAGATATGCCTCTCTCCAAGCCCTAGACCTGCTGTAGCACACCTTCCCTGGTTTAGCCCTGACTCAGCCCACCCCCACAGCTATAGAAGGGGACTGGTGCCCAGACCCCGTCCCACTGGAACTACCACAGCTGTGCGGAGGTGCTTCTCACTTGGCCCCTAGTTACTGTGTTGAGAGTAGCAGGGAAGCCTCCCTGTTGCAACTTGGGAGCACCCTCCTGTGCCCCAAACTCCTCATATCAAGCTCACTACACAGTCTGCCCCCCCATCACCACTTTGTCTTTGTGCACCAGGAAGCGATGTCCTATTTTCCATCGACTACAGGCAGTCCCCGGGTTACGTACAAGATAGGGACTGTAGGTTTGTTCTTAAGTTGAATCTGTATGTAAGTCGGAACTGGCGTCCAGATTCAGCCGCTGCTGAAACTGGGTGGAGGGAGGAATGCACTGAGACCCCTTCCCTTGCCCCAGACTCCTGCCAAAGAGGGTGCCCACTGGCCTGATAGGAAGATTTGAGGACTGGCACTGACCCTAAAGTAAACTGAGTTTGAGATGCTTGCCCTATGCCCACCTTGCCTCAGTGACTCACTGCCTGTTGTCAGCTAGACACTTCCTCGGGGCAAACTGCAGCCTGACATGTCCACTTCATCATTGGCAAGGGGGTGTGGATCTCTTGCTTTCACCTGCCCTGGCTGCCCTGCTGTCGGTGTTCCCTCCTCCCCCCGCTGTTGCTGGGCCTCAGCCTGGGGCTATTCAGGCTAGAGCTTCCCAGCTCACCCTGCTTTCCCCAGCACTGCTCTGTCTGTGGTACCCTGGCTAGCAGGTTGCTAGATCCCTCTGCCTCCAGAGCTGGAGTAAGAGTACTCCACCTCTCCAGGAGCCTTCTTATGGACTAGCCAAGCCCTGACTGGCTGACTGTAGCTCCCCTTTGAGTGACTGAGCCCTCCCAGGGATATTTCTAATGCTTTTTGTCCTGGAGCCGAGGGACTGCCCCCTACACTCTGCACACATTGCCATTTCACTCTTCACTCTCTTCTCCAGATTGTTTGTTAAACAGCACAGGTCCCAGGTCAGATCCAGGGAGGACTCTACCTTTAACCACTTTCCATTGTGAAAACTTGACGTTTACTCCTACTTCTTGGTTCCAATCTTTTAATCAGTTACTGATCCGTGAGAGGACCTTCCCTGTTGTTCTATTAGTAGTTCCCTTAAGAGACTTTGGTGAGGGACCTTGTCAAAGTACCCTATATTGTACACTGTCAGTCCAAATACATCAGTGGTCCCCAACCATTTGAGGCTGCTGGGCACCAGGGGGTGTGGCCGTTTGCCTGCCGGGCGCCAGAGGGTGGGGACACTTGCACTTGCACGTGCCCGGGGGCGGGGCCCTCTCCAAGGGCTGCATGCCCG